GTGGCCGAGTCAGAAGACTTTACTGCTTCTGGACGGAGGAAGCATTGGGAGAGGGAGTCTCGGAGCTCTAAGGAAACCACACCATGCCTTAGTCCTGGTACAACAGGTCACAGCATCAGGGGATCATTTTCTAAGTTGATAGAAGACAAGCAAGCAAGTCAATAAACAAAAACCCCACTTTGGAGTGGATAAAGAAAACAGAAGAGAGAAAAGATAGGGGGAGAAAAAGACAGGGAAACAAGGGGTGGGGCGAACACCCTAAACATTTTTGCAGGAAAAACAGAATAGGAGAACCGGCTCTGGAAAGATCCATCAAAGTCAGGGGATGCAGACACACACCCTGCTCAGGGAGGGCCCAGTGAGTCTGAACTTCCCTTAGCCCTTTTGAGAGAATTAAAAAAATGCAGTCCTCCACACAACCCCTTAAAAGTAAACACTTTTACCATATATTCATTAAATGTTAAAAAAGTTTTTTCTTTTAAAAGTAGATGGTTCTTTTAGTCGTTCTTTGGCTGAGTAACTTTGGTTTCCAATATCTCCTGTTTTCTACAACTGCCATTGAACCATTAACAACTCATTGTTACAACAGGAGTAGCAATGATTTTTAAAGGTAATTAAGTAGAATTAAATACATCTTTAATGGGGTATTTTATTTCTTGCAGGCCTTCTGTAATCTTCAAACAAAATCTAAAATCAACATTTACATAAAATGCATAAAATAGCACAGAAGTGAATGGAGTTATGCATCCCACACACAATAAATTCTGTTTTCTATCTTTTCAGATAGAATGTCAACAATCAGAAGGCCTCCTTTTGGGGGGTGGGGTGGGGCCGGAGATAAATAAACTTTTAAGATCAAAGTAAAAACCTGAAAAAGTAAATTAGTAATGTGTCTAAAATCGCATTGCTACTTAACCCATTTAAAAAACATCTCGTCTTCAATGATCATTTTCTCAAGTTCAGTTAAAATGCAACTGTCAGATTAGGGAGGCTGGGAGAGGGATAGTTTAAAAAATTTCCTTCTGAAAATCTGCTATAAGAAATTTCTCCCGTTTACTTCCAGACTTCTCTTTCCTCAGACAGCCACGTTTCTGGCTTCCCCGCGTGCTTAGATTAACTGCAGCTTGCAAAGGGGTTTTATAGGACAATCAATAGGGACTCTATATTCATAAAGGCCTCTGATCTGATTACACCTTTTATTTTTTTCATTCCTCTCTCAAAAATTTAAGTCGGCGAGCCTGGAAGTCCCAGCGTTGCAGCGCCTGTGAGAGGCCGGAGGCTGCGGAGCACTGGCGACGGCGGCGAGGGCGCCCGTGGATTAGGATGTGGATTGCAGGACAGACCTTTGTTTGGTCACATTCTCGACGGAGCTTGGGGGGAGGGTCGTCCTCCTTCGAGATCGCGCCAGATTTTTATAGGCTCGCCTTAAAAGAACTCGCCGCTCTTCATAGAGTTAATTTATGGGGCTTTCGAGGAATATTGGGACTTTTAAGACGCTCTTTATTTTTTTCCCATTAGTATTTTCTGGTTACACTCCTAAAGGGACTCCCGGGTTTCAGCACCTCGCAGGAAGAGGGTGGGAGTGCGAGAAAGAACGGGGCCAGGAGGAGAAGGGGAGGATTTGCCCCCTAATCAAACTGCCTACAGGGCCCAGGCTGCCCAACATATTTTTAAAAATTAAATTTCTAACCATGTTGTGGGCAGTAAAACTCAGACTTAGGAACTGGGAGGAAATTGAGACAAACGAGGGCTATATCTACCTTTCCCCAGGTTTCCACCCATTTGGATTCAGTATTAGGGGAAGGAAGGATTTGGGGCCTTAAGAATTTTAAGTTTAAAAAACGAGGACAGACTGGAGAAAGGATTAGAGTAACAGGTGAGGGGGGCGGGGAGGAAAAGCCCTTGGACCGCGTATTGTCTGCGCGGGGTTCCAGCCCCCCCCGCCCCTCCACCTCCCCCCCCCCCCCCCCCCCCCCC